ATATATATATATATATATATATATATATATATATGAAGGCGTTTAAAACCCTTCCCCCACTCTTGCAATATTCTAAACAATGTTTCTAAACTCTAAACACTCTAAAAGAGCACAGAATGTCATGATTTCAGCTCTCTGCCTCCGGCTGCTCTCAGCCACCTGCAAGCGCTCTAGGCCACGCCCACTTCTCTTCTGCATGGAGATCAGTTGATCAGCTGCAGCAAGAAGCTTATCCTGCAGTGTGGGCTGCACAAATGTGCAGCAGCTGCTAAATAATTTAAAATAATTCATTTTAAATAAAAATTTCATGCCGATTGAGCAGCTCATCCATCAATCAGCCAGTTGTGTGTCATGCCCAATCTTATTTTGAAAAACCGCGATAAAGCGAGTTTGCGAAAAACGACCCGCGAAGTAGCCAGGGACTACTGTATAATATTGTAATGTTTGTGCTCATAACTTACACATTTATCATTTGTTTGTTTTTGTTGTTTTCAGGTATTCGTGCTTATGAGCAGCTCGGACAACGTGCTTTTGGCCACCCTGGAAAACTGCTTGCCGCCTGCGTCATAACAGTGCACAACATTGGAGGTATTGTCATCTTTTTTCCTCTCTTGTTTTTGTTTGATCAGTCTCTTTAGAATGATTTGTTCAATTAGCTTTGTAGAGATCTAGTAGAGTGCTGTATGAATGGGTAAATGAGGACACAGATTGTAGTGTAAAGTAATTTGAGTGTCTTGAAATAAGATAGAAAGGTGCTATATAAGTACAGTCCATTTACCATTTTATTCAGACAAAAATAAAAAGCAGACTGTTTTTATTCTTTTCTTCAGCAATGTCCAGTTACCTGTTCATCGTAAAGTCTGAGCTCCCCCTGGTCATTCAGTCCTTCCTTAGTAAAACTGAAAGCACAGGGTGAGTAATAAAACAATGTTTGGCTGTAAATTCACACGCAGCATCGTCAGGTGTTTGTTTCATGCTGATGTTTCTCATCTGTGTGGCTGTTCTCAGAGAGTGGTTCTTGAATGGAAACTACCTGATCATCATTGTTAGTGCTCTTGTCATTCTTCCTCTAGCAGTCATGAGACGACTTGGTATGTTAGTACTTCTGCTTTTTCACTTTATTTTATAGTTTTCATGCTCTTCATGTACATATCATTCTCATCAGTCATTTTAGTTTAGTTTCATGTTTAGTTGCAGTCTTCCATCGGCAGCCATAAGTAAACGTGCAACGTTTTTGTTCTTGAACCTCAGGTTACCTGGGCTACACAAGTGGCTTCTCTCTCACCTGCATGGTGTTTTTCCTCATTTCTGTGAGTCAAAATGAAGAACGCAGGTGGCGGCTGATCTTTCTTTTAAATAAATATCTTTCACTAATAGACGGGTGTGCCTTTCCAGGTTATTTACAAGAAATTCAACATCCCATGTCCGCTTTCTGTCAAACCAGCCAACACAACTCCTCCTATGAGCAACTTATCTGTTCATAGTGAGACAAATGTCACCTGTGAGGCCAAACTGCTCACTATGAACTCAGAGGTAAAAATAAAACATTTATTGTGCCTAATCTGTTTTCTTACGGTCTGATATATCGTGGTTAGTGCGACAGATGCATCGCCCCAAAGTCTTCACTGGAGTGTGATAAGTAAACAGCACAGAGCGTGTTGTGGCAGCAGCAGTGTTGGGAATGGAATCAGCTTTTAATCATGTTGTCACTGATCTCTGCTCTGCTTTTAGACTGCATACACCATCCCAATCCTGGCTTTTGCTTTTGTCTGCCACCCAGAGGTGCTACCAATCTACACGGAGCTACGGAAGTAAGTCTTAACACAACTATCCATCTGTTTTGTTTTAATTTAGCACAACTGTGCAAACCTCATCATATTTATATTTTTCATTGCTTTTCCTCAGTGCCACCAAGAAGCGCATGCAGGCTGTTGCCAACATTTCCATCCTGGCCATGTTTGTCATGTACCTGCTGACGGCTATTTTCGGTTACCTCACGTTTTACAGTAAGATGCTCTGATTTTCAATGTTTTCCTGTGAATGACCCACTTTTACCGTTTACAGTTTCATGTGCTGTAAACGACATAATTCATCTGTTTCCTGCTTCTTTCTGTGCAGCTGGTGTGGAGGAAGAACTACTGCATACTTACGCTAAGGTGGACCCTCTGAATGTCCTGACCCTCAGTGTGCGTCTGTCTGTGCTGGTGGCTGTCACTCTGACAGTACCCGTGGTTCTTTTCCCGGTAAGCAATCCTATGGAAAGTTTCTCACACTGCTATATAACACACACTTTTTATATTGGCAAAAATAAACAAGAAAAGTAGAAAACATATATATATATATATATATATATATATATATATATATATATATATATATATATTTATTGTGTATCAGCGTGAACCCAATAGCTAGCACTTAGCTTAGCTTTGCAGCGTCAGAGCAAGTGTAAAGTGTAAGAACAGTAGGGGCTGCCAATAAGACAAAATGGCTTCAAATTTTGGAGCTAAGTCAAACTAACTCCAAACCAAAATAGCAAGTTTCCCAAAGTGTTGAACTATACCTTTTTATTTCTGTCGGTAGAATGGAATAATATCTCTACATGTGTCTCTCTGGCTTGAAACTCTCATATACAGCTTCTCATACTGGAGCTTTACCACTGAAACGAAAAAATATAGGCAAAAGTTAAAATCATTTCTACCGAAGCTGCATAAAGGAGAGTAAAAATAGGTATCAGTGAGATATTTGCTTTTCTTCTAACAAATTTAGTCTAAAAAATGTTCTAGTAGTTCACGTGAAAGCTCATTTATAAACCTTTATGTTACCATACTCAATGTTTAAGGCAACTTTATTGTCATTCACATCACATGCAGTACATGAGGTGGAACAAAATTGTGTACTCAAGGTCCCAGTTACACCCAAAAATAGCAAAAATATAAAGTATAAAAACAAATAGTATACAAGGATCTAAGGTACAGTATTCGCTAAACAATGATAATATCATATAATACAGTGTATTAAACAGCAGCCTGAATATGAGTCTGTTGGATGTAGATGGGTATGAATATAGCAGCTTATGGGTAAGAAATCAGCAGCATAGATAATCAGCAGCATGGATAATCACCAGCATAGATATAAAGTGTCAAATGTCCAATTAAAGTGGCATTCCAGTGATTTTCCTGGTTAGGGGTTTATGAGTCTAACAGCTTCAGGGTAGAAGCTGTAGAACCAGTTTTAACATAGTTTTATGGATATTTGCCAGCACAAAGATCAGCAGCACTTACTGTAGATATATAATGTTTCTGTAAGACTAATCATTTACTGCAAAGCTAGCAGTAATGTTCAGGTATTTAAAATAGCACTGGCATGAACCTCCATATAATTGAGACTGGAGTGACTTTTTTGTCTTGCCCCATTACTTCCAATCAGAATTAGTTTATTTCACTGTAATGAATCCAATATGTCTTGATTTATTGACTTCCATCCATCGATTATCTTTGCTGCTTTTTTCTTTCTGGCATGTGGGGGTCACTGGTGCCCACATACAGCAGTCACTGTGCGAGAGGCGGGGGACACCCTGGACAGGTCTCCAGTCCATCACAGAGACACATGGAGACAAATGAGACAAACAATCATTCACTCTCTCACTCACACCTAGAGACAATTTAGAGTTACCATTCAGACTAACATGCATGTTGTTGGTCTGTGGGAGGAAACCGGAGCACCCGGAGAAAACTTGCAAACTCATGTAGGACCTCCAGCGATGGGTTGTTTATTGCCTTCCTGTGCAAAACATGGAGTGCACGTTGCATGGAATTTGCAAGATTCCTGGCTGGGATTCAATCCAGCAACCATCTCACAGAGAGGCAGCTCTACCACCAACTGCATCACATTTGAACTTTATAATTTATAGTGGAATAAACAGAATTCATTTTTATTTTATTGTGAAATTATTAATAACATCACATCCCTCCAGAGTAAACGTACTTGCAGGTGGGTTTGTCTCGGAGCTGTAATCCATGTTGTTAATCCAAGTATGTTTAGGGACATTTAGGACATTCATTTGTCCTCTTAATGGTGCTCACCTCTTTTTGGTGGTGGTGGTGGTGGTGGGGGGGGATCTTCTAGCAAAACCTTTTGGAATTACTCTCTTTTTAGACGAGCACAGTCTTGTGCCAATTTAGAAATTCTAATATCCCTCAGTCTTCATAAGATTCTTGTTGTCTTTCAGTGGAAAAATCCAGAAGTGTGAAAAAGTCTCTTGAACACATCAGCAAACATTTTCTAAGATGTTAGCTGATCAGGAGAAAGCTGAGGCATAAAACAAGATATAGTGCATTTATTTTGATTTTAAGAATTGTACCTCACATATCGTGGGGGTTACGTTCCAGACACCCCCACGATAGATGAAAATCTGCAAAGTAGGGACGTTATATTTATTTTAGTATTTATATTTATGGCTTTATAAACCCTTCCTACACTCTTTCAATGTTCTTAACAATTTTCTAAACTCTAAATGTTCTAAAAGAGCAAGCAACAGAGAGCAGACAGATTGATGCTACGGTTACTGAACCAATCGCCGGGGTGGACTGGCCATCGGGAGCACTGGGACATTTCCTGGTGGCCTGGCCTGCTCAATGATCACCAAGGGGCTGGACTAAAGGCTCGATTCGGGTCACGCTTGATATTTTAAATAAACAATCCATGCCGCTCACTCAGGTATCCGCCTCACTGAAGCTCCCTGAGCAGTAGCGATGGGGAAAGACTGACCCCATCCCTCCTTTCTTTTTCTGAGTCCGTCTGTCACAGCAGAGCAGAGACACACAACAAGTTGCACGCCCACCTGTTGTGTGTCTCTTCCCTTCTGTGACAGACAGCTTCAGAAAGAGAAAGGAGGGGGCCCCTCGGCGAGCAGGCCAAGTCACCGGGAAATGTCCCGGTGCTCCCGATGGCCAGTCCGCCCCGCAGCACAGTGCTCTGGTTGGTCGCCTTCCATCAATCAGCCAATCAAGTGTCGTGTACAATCTTACGTTGAACACTCGCAAAAGAGTGAGTATGCGAAAGTCGAACCGCAAAGTATCAAGGTACTACTGTATTTGTAAAACAAAACAATGACCTTTTTTTTCTAATGCCCACAGATCCGCAGGGCCTTGCTTCAGATCTTCTTCCCTGATAAGCCTTTCCACTGGGCCAGACACATCATCATTGCAGTCTGTCTCGTCGTCTTTGCTGACCTGCTGGTTATACTTGTTCCTTCCATCAAAGACATCTTCGGGGTCATTGGTAGGTTTTGCTCAGGAAGACAAAAAGCAAGCTATCACTGCATGCTCTACAGTGTGAGCTCCTGTATACCGACTTGAAACCAATTCCCACCTTAAATAAACTCACTGATTTCTGTTCATTTGTAGGAGCTACATCTGCGCCCAGTCTCATTTTCATCCTTCCTGCAATCTTCTACATCCGAATTGTTCCTCAGGACCAGGAGCCTTTGAAGTCAAGACCCAAAATTCAGGTACATCTCGTTGATATTTCACACATTTATGGACTTTTAATGGTGTTTTATTGTATAAACGTTTTAATTTTAACTAATAGACGTTTGTTTCTTTCCTTCAACTCTTGCAGGCCGCATGCTTTGCTGCATTAGGATTCGTCTTCATGGTCATGAGCCTGTCATTTATCATCATTGGCTGGGCCACTGGAAAGTCTCGGGCAAGAGGACACTAGTTTGACGCTGACCGAAGAGTTACTGCAAACAGAATGTCAACCAAAACTCCCCCTGTAATCGAATTAACGCAATCTGCTGAGTTCTTGTCCAAAGTCCGTCAGTGCACGACGAAGGATAAATGTGAAGAAACTTTAGCAGCATCAAAATGAGGAAAACGTTTTGACGTGACAAAACTCCTGTAGTGTAGGGGAAAACACAGAGTACAATGTGTTTTGACTGAATGTATCTGTCCCAGCCCAAAGTAAGGATGCTGGTATGTGTCATAAATCAAATGGCAGAACAAAGATGGCTGAGAGCAGCACGACTGGAATAGAAATCCTATTTCAGAGTATGGATGAGTACATTTCTATTGAATACCTCAGTCAGTGCATTCATCCCTCCAGTATACTTCCTTAATATTTCAACAGACATTGTTATCAAACAAAAAGACTTATCAGTTCGTTCATTCTGTTACAGTTTCCTTCAATGCAAAAGACTTCAGCAAAATGTTGCTCAAATTTTTTTCAAGTTTATTCAAGTTCATCTAAATTTAAGAAGCAGCTACTGGTTTGACCAGAATGCTACTTTTGTGAAATGGAACTCAGATAATGTGATTTTTAAAGTTTTACTTTCCATTTCTCCTTACATCTGACATGACTGATGTAAAGGTGACTGTGTTCAAGGCTGAGCCTACAGGTGCCTATCAATCCGGTGCAATGTGTAGGATTTTGCTGTTGTTCATGAAGGTCGTGAAGAGACAGTTTACTGACAATCACTTGAGTCAACCCACAGAGAAGTGGTTTGCACATGAAAAACGTTTTTGTGTATTATTCTAGCTGCAAACCAAAGGTCATATTTATCATGTTACATTCAGAGAACATAAAGCATTTTTTCTATCATGTTCAGCTGTTTAGGCCAAAAAATGTAAACATCCAGTGTTGAAAAAGGCTGTTTCATCAGCAACTATTCAGTACGTTAAAAAACACACATTGATAATAATAATAAAAAAAGAGTTGTTGTTGAATAATAAAATTTGCCAAAAAACATTTCTGGGTTTTTATCAATTCTCGACGGAGTGATACTTTCAAGACACCAACAACATGGACAACAGAAGGTGTCAAAAATAACTGTCATGTGTAGATGTATAATATTAATTAATGCAGCATTTTTTCACACCATTATAACATTCTTGAAAAAAAAAATGTTTTATGAGCCCGAATAATTGTTTAAAACATCTGGCACTTGTTTAGCTGTTAGTTTAGCCCTGAGGAGGAACTCTGACCTCTTCATCCTCTGCGCTGTCCCTGACGTCATCGCTGATGAGGTAATAACTGAATGTTTATGAAGCATTCACTCCACTATGATCCATTTCTCCTCCCTTTGTTGTTCAGCATCTTTCTTGTTCCAGTTTTTGTGCTATTTCAACAAATTAAATCAAAAATGTTCAGCTCTTTCAGGACAATCCTGCTATGACTTGGTGCAACTTTAGCTTTTTGAAATATTTAGCCTTTTCTGCAGTTTTTTTTTTCTATAGAAAATTAGTTGAACTTTACATCCTTCAAATTCTTAGAACAACTTGCAACCTTTTACTGCTCCTTTCACCTTTTGTTCTGGTTCATCCTCTTTAAGCGTCCTTGTGCAAATTTAAACTTCTTTTCAGCTACTTTCAGATAATTTTGGCATTTTTTTCCAGCTGTTAGTGCTTCTGTCAGGATCTTTATGCCAACTACAACATTTTTGTCGTTCTCTAACTTCTTTCTGCTCCTTTCAGCTCACCTGTGAGTTTCAGCTTTTTCTGCTATTTCAGCTACTATTTAGCTGTTTTATGCTAATTTTAGCCTTTTCAGCTAATTCCACTTTTGTTGCACTCATTTAAACATTTTTCAGTCTAATTCAGCCAAAATGTGCCCTCTTCTTTCTGCCTTTTTTTAAGCTACTTTTCAGCTGGTTTTATGCTAATTTCAGCTTTTTTAAGGTAATTTCCACTTTTTTGTGTTCATTCTTTCATCCTAATTAGGTAAACGTGTTCTTTCTGCTTTCTTATGCTAAGCTTGTTCTACCTTTCAGCTAGCTTTTTAGCATAGCTAATTTCAGCTGTTTTCAGATAAATTCAAGCTTTTTTGCGGCAATCTCTGTTCACCCTAATTAACTTCTTTATGCTAATTTCAGCTTGTTATGCTCCTTTCAGCTTATTTCTGCTAGTTTCAGTTATTTCAGTTACTGTTTAGCTGTTAATATTAGCTTTTTCAGCTAATTCCACATTTTTTTGCACTCGTTTCAGCTTTTGTGTTCTTTCTGCATTCTCCTGCTGATTTATGCTTGTTCTACATTTTCAGCTATGCTTCAGCATGTTTTTTAGCTAATTTCAGCTGTTTTTCAGCAAGTTCTGCAATAAGCATTCACGCTGCATTTTCGCTGGAAATGCATTTTCTCTAGTTATTAATAACTTTGACAGAACTTCACTGCAAAAATGAGCAGACTGACCATTTATTGTTATTTGTCAATAAAGAATAAATAAGTTGTCTTCATGTAAAATGTCTGTCATTTAAAAACCCCTGACTGACAGCAGGAGAGCAGCACCGCCTCTGTCGCTGAAAATGGAAGTAACATCATTCATTTCTGCTGTGTGTCAGTGTGAGAGAAGAAAAGTGGGTTTAGAGAAGTGTGGTTGTCCATTTCCTGCTTTGAGCTGATGTGCGCTCAGAACAGAGAAGAGAAACTTCCTGGACTGTAAACAGCACGAGGCCGACGGGTTTGATGCGAGATAAACGCTAGTTGGGAGTAAATTAAAAAAAGTTTGTGAGGAGGATCATGAGCCGTGGAGCTAAAAGTAAAACGGAGAGCATCCCAAGCTCCATGCTGAGCCTGCAGGAGAATGAGAGACTGGAGGAGCTGCTGGGCAGAAGGTGTGCTGTAAGTCCTGTACTGGGAGAAATGCCCGATGTTCATCTGTTCTTCTAATTCAAACCGGCTGTAAAAGATTATTTACTAATTTTAGGTTTCACCTCCCTTTAGATGGGTGGTTTAACCTCACGTCCTGAATGAGTTGAGGCCTGCAGATTCAAGATCCATTCTTTAAACGTGTGTTAGTTCATTCACCTCCAGAAATGATGAAAGAACTCCCATTCTTCAGGTGTTTTTGTTTTGTTTTTTACAAGCTAAGACGACCATGAATAAATGCTGATTTACTGGCTCATCAAGAAGGAGTTAGCGGTAACAGGAAATGAGGGCTGAATTGTTCCTTCCTCTGCTGATAGAATTAGACACCACGGCTGGTTTATTGCAGCAGAGCAGAAGTTGCTTTGTTTTATTGACTTCTTGAGTTAAACATCCTGCCTATGGTTGTGTGTCAAACCAACCAAAGGAATAAGTGCAATGCATATGAAGTATTTCAACATCTACAGTGGAAAATGAAGATCACAGCGCTTTGAATGCGTATTGGAACAAGTGAATGCATAGGAGGAAGTTAACCGCCACCACAAAACGGCGTATTTACATGTGAGCCGAATGTGTGTTATCTGTGTGTTTTCAGTCCATGGCCTCTGCAGTGGCTCAGCTGCTCATGGCTCTGCCTCACAGTCCCTCGGTGTGGAAACTGCAGCACACTGGAGTGGTCTGCTTCGTGAAAGACAACCCTCAGCGCTCCTACTTCATTCGCATGTTTGATCTGAAGGTTAGATAAAGCTGCCTGGTGTCAAGAATCTATAACTATGTCCTCTTTAGACCAAGTTCTCCAGAAGTCTCCAAACTAAAAGCTGACTCAAATGTTTACAGGGAAACTGGCACATTGATTTTATTTTCCTGTTTTTGTTCACAGTCAGAGAGACTAGTCTGGGAGCAGGAGCTCTACAACCAGATTGTCTACAACACGCCACTGCTGTACTTCCATACCTTTGCTGCAAATGTAAGAGAACACTGATCTGACCTGTCCATCCACCTCACTTCTGTCACGGTCGTCACTGTGTAGATTTACTGCCTTTCTGTGAGCACTGGTTTGTAAAGGTGTGTTTCAGTGAACGTGCATTTTGTTACACAACGAATAGGACTGTCAGGTGGGACTGAACTTCACGGACCAACAGGAGGCAGATGACTTCTATAAGGCTGTCACCGAGAAAATCGACCAAAGACACAACCGACAAGGTCAGCAAATTCATAAATTTCACACCAGAGTGACTTAAACAAACTTGTGAAAGTGATCTTAAACTGGTACGTTTGTGTGAACGCTTCTATTGTGATCCATTTGTCTCACGTACGTTTTTCTGCTTCTTTCTCGTTCCACAATTTTTGCGCTATTTCAACAAATCATATATCAAAATGTTCAGCTCGTTCAGGAGAAGGGTGCTGTGACTTTTGGAATTGGTGCAACTTTAGCTTTTTGAAATATTTAGTCTTTTCTGACATTTTTTTGTCTCCTGAATTGAGCTCATTTTACATCCTTTAAATCTTTAGATCTGTTTACAAACTTTAACTGCTCCTTTCATATTTTGTTCAGCTTCTTTCAGCTTCCTTGTGCAAATTTAATCTTTTTTCAGCTACTTTCTGCTCATTTCAGCTGGGTTTTTTCAGCTGTTTTGTGCTCCTTTCAGATACTTTCTGCTAACTAGAAATTTGTGTCCTTCTTCTAACTTCTTTCTGCTGATTGCAGCTTGTTATGCTTCTTTTAGCTTATTTATGCAAGTTTCAACCTTTGCTGCTATTACAGCTACTATTTAACTGTTTTGTGCTCATTTAAACTTTTCAGCTAATTCCACATTTTTTTGCACTAATTTTCACTTTTTTCTGCCTAATTCAACAAAAATGTGCTCTCTCTACTTCCTTCTGCTAATTTCAGCTTCTTTCTGCTTTCTTAGCTACTTTTCAGCTTTTTTTTTGTTTGCTAATTTAGGTTTTTTTCAGATAATTTCTACTTTTTTGTGCTAATTTCAGCTTTTTTCAGCCTAATAGGACAAACATGTTATTTCTGCTTTCAACTGCTAATTTAAGCTAGCTATCTTTTTAGCATCAATTAGCCAATTTATTAGCTGTTGTCAAATAAATTCACATTTTTGTGGTAATTTCTGCTTCTTTCAGCCTAATAGGACAAATGTGTTCTTTCTGTTATCTTCTGCTAATTTAAGCTTGTTCTAACTTTTCAGCTATCTTTTTTAGCATTTATTAGCTAATTTCAGCTGTTTTCAGATAAATTCACATTTTTCTGGTAATTTCTTTAACTTCGTTTTGCTAATTTCAACTTGTTATGCCCCTTTCAGCTTAACTATGCTAGTTTCAGCTATTTCAGCTACTGTAGCCGTTTTTATGCTAATTTAGCGTTTTCAGCTTATTCCACAATTTTTAGCTCATTTCAGCTCTTTCCATTTCCTTCTGGTAGTTTAAGCTTCTTTCTGCCTTTCAGCTTGTTTTCAGACTTTTTTTGTTGCTAATTTCAGCATGTTTAGCTAATTTCCTAAGTATTCAGCAAATGTGTGTTCTTTCTACTTTCTTTTATTAACTTAGGATTGTTCTTCTGTTTCAATACATTTCAGCATGTTTTTAGTTAATTTCAGCTGTTTTTCAGCTAATTATTTTGCAATAAGCATTCACACTGCATTTTGGCAGGAAATGCAATTCATCGAGTTACATTTGGAATATGTTTGTGTAGGAGCTGTTCTCTGTAAAGTTTGGATATTGCTTTTGGGGGTAAACGTGAAAAACATCAATTCAATATAAATATGGTTTAGTTGTTTATAATACCAGAATCCAACAGGAAATTTCTTTGTAAATATTTATTATCCTTTAAAACCTTTAGTTCTTTTCATTGACTTGTTCTGTCTTACTGGTTTGTCCCATCTTTTTGTTGTTGGCAGAGAAGAAACACCGCCCACCTCCGACAAGTGGTGAGTTGAACAGTCCTTTAACAGAAGAACGTGTTAACTCATGTATCGCAGTAACCTGAAGGCTTGTCTCCTTTCACGTCACTGCAGATAGAGGCTCCCTGCCTCCACTTCCACCTGAAAAAGGTTCAGGTCTCCTTCATCTCATCATGTCTCCAGTTGTTCCATCACAGCTGCTGATTCTTTGTTATTTTTTAAATCAATTTGAATGTCATTTGGATCTCTCCACCCAGCACCACCTGGCAGCCCTGGTACTTTTCACATGACCACTGTGGACATCCAAAACCCAGACATCCAGTCGTCCCGCTACCGATCCATGCCTTCGCCCACTGTCCCCTCAGTGGCCTCCAGCAAAGGAAAGAAGGACAAGAAGAACAATAAAAAAGGCCTCAAACTTTCCAAAGCAGATATAGGAGCACCCAGTGGGTTTAAGTAAGGACTAGAGTCCATAAACCTGATACCTGATGTCAGGCTGTGGACACATTTTACCTGTTGACTTTGATGTTCTGCTCTTTTTTCTGCTGTAGGCATGTATCACATGTAGGATGGGACCCCAACAACCTGGACCCTGACCTGTTCAAAATACTGTCCAAAGCAGGCGTTGCTGAAGCCGACCTCAGGGACGAGGAGACCTCTCAGATGATCTATAATGCCATAGAGGAGCATGGAGGGATGGAGGCGATCAGAAGGGCGGCGCAACAAGGTGGAGACTCACTCCTTCCTTCTTTCTGCTCCCTACAGGCTAAAAATAACTTCATCTTCTCTCTGCTGCCCCACAGTTGGTGGACCTCCTTCTCCATTTGGCAGACTGGGGCCTCTGCCTCCTGTGCCGGGCTCCAGCCCCTCTGCTCCAACCCCTCCACCTCCACGGAGTCGCTCTGGCCCCCTGCCCCCCATCCCAGGTCAGACCCAACGAGGCACCCCGCCTCCCCAGCCACCTCCATCCCGCGGGGGTTTTCCTCCACCTCCTCCTCCATCGAGCCGAGGCGGTCTGTCTCCTCCTCCACCACCATCCCACTCTGCAGCTCCTCCGATGCCCCCGCCATCAAGGTCCTCCCATAGCGTCCCGCCTCCTCCACCGCCCTCGAGCTATCCTCGCGCCATGGGCGTCCCTCCTCCTCCAGTCCCGTCAGCACCCAACAGAGGAGGTGGAGGGCCCCCACCCCCACCTCCCCCACCTCTCCTTCCACCTGCTCAAACCTCAGATTTTCCACCTTCTCCCTCCCACTCCTCTGGTGGAGCACCAGCACCACCTGCATCCTTTGGAGGAGGAAACAGCAGGGGGGCTCTGCTCGACCAAATCAGACTGGGGACGAGTCTCAAAAAAGTAAAATACCCCCCCACCCACCCAACAACAACAACAACAAAAAACACATTATTGGTCATTGTACTCCAGATTCTTTATGTGCAAAGTTCACGTCATGCCATTTACATGAGATGTTCATGTGTTCATGGTGTCCTGCAGGTAACGGAGAGCTCTGATCCTCCTCCACCTCCAACACCTGAGGCAGGGGAGGGCATCGTGGGTGCTCTCATGATGGTCATGCAGAAGAGGAGTAAAGTCATCCATTCCTCTGGTGAGCATCAGAATGATGACTTCACACATCTGACACGTTCACATGCCAGAACAACAAAATCTCACGTGCTTGCGTGTGTGTGTGCTCCTTCATCAGATGAAAGTGAAGACGACGGCGGCGATGAAGACGATGACGAAGACGAGTGGGATGACTGATGAGGCGACTCTGGTTACTGAGGATTCTGAACTCGAGTTTTAAACTCTTCCACATTTTGTTAAAGGGGTGAAGTGTGACTTGTATTTATGGGAATCTGCGCTAGTTATCAGGTGAATAAAAAATGAACGCTTTAATAAATGGAGCAGATTTTCTAAAGAGAATTCTCTAATTAAATTGAAATAAGTGATTAACAACTCACTGCTGCAAGCTGAAGGGTGAAGACACAACGCTTTCAGTTGTAGGCTTTGATGCATCCAGATATAACACAAATGTTTTTGGTCTTTACCGTTTTAAAGCTGTTCAACTCTAACCTCGTGCAACACCAAACAACCGATTCCACCGTGTCAACTTTTATTAAACAAAAACAAAATGTGTGGTGAAAACTAAGTCCTGCTGATCAAATGCCATCGATGAACTGATCATCAGCAGGTGTGACCCCCTCTATTAAAGCAGTTCTGTCTGTTTGCTGGACTGGAGTGTGTAAGTGTGAGTTAATACCAAGCCAAGGAGGAATGATAGCAATGGCCTTAGAGAAGTTGCAACTTGTCAATCAGGGAAGGGTTAAAGGGCATTTCAAAACAATCTGGAGTCCATCAGTCCACGGTGGAAATAAATCATACACAAGTAGAAAACATTTAGGGCCATCTTCCCAGGAGTGGACGTTCCAGCAAATTCATTCTGCAGACTGCTGAGCAGTAGCCATCGCTCAGGGAGGAATTCTGCCCGGCATTCAGGCAGTCCTGCTGCCAGATCTGACAGCAAGCTAGATCTGGGTGGATGGATCGTATCTGTGGCCAGATTCTTCTACTTCACTGCAGGAGATCCTTCCTGCCCACAGCTATCAGCATCTAACAACTCTTGAATTAAAACAGGATGATGAGCTATGACAACACTTAACCTCCCTTTGGGGTTAAGAAAGTATTTTTGAATTGAATGTCAGTGCTCAGGTGAAACCACTTCAGACTCAAAGGGCCTCAGCAGATTATGAGAAGACGATTGGGGAACAAATTATCAATTATGGTTTGTTTGGAAGGGGTTTGAGGAGAAAGACTTTTCTCAAAAGAATATGGCAGCAGGAACTAGGTTTAGAAAGCTCCACAAGAAAGAACCAAACGTGATGAGAGCAAAGTAGAGATGTTTACCCTTAACGCACAATTTTGTCAAAAAGCAAACGAACACTTCACCATCAGCCAAGCACGATGGTGGAGAGGTGTTGATTTGGGCTTGTTTTGTTTCCACAAGGCCTGGACTCCCTGCACCCATCAAGTGGGGAAGAGAAGGGTGGGAGTGTCTGAGATTGTCATTATTGTTTGTTTCCATACAATGGCAAAATTAGTTATCTGCATTTAACCCATCACACCTGAGATACACCCAGGTGGAGCAGTGGGCAGCTATGTAAGCACCTGGGGAGCAATCGGGGGATTGGGTGTCTTGCTCAGAGACACCACGACATGTGGCAATGGCTGGGACCCACACTGTGAATTTCTGGTCTCCAGTCGGCTGCCATACCTCTACTCCATCTTGGCCCCATGGACCGAGTGGACCATGAACTCAAGACTTCAAGAGTCAAATCATCTGTCTGACAGCTGAAGCTTTGAGCAGCCTGGCCGTGATGCCGCAGAACAATGACCCCAAACACAGCCGAGATGGGGTAGAGGCAGGGCAGCCGACTCGGGACCCAAAAGTCCCAGGTTTGATCCCCAGTCATTGCACAAGTCGGGGTGTGTCTGAGCAGCACAACCTATCCCCAAAATGGGGCAGCTTTCAATAGCTGCCCACTGCACCACCTGGTGGTGGATGGGTTAAATGCAGAGATCCAATTTTGCCACTGGGAACATACAATGATGACAACACATAACACATTATTATTATTAAACTACAGCAGAATGGCTCCAAGCAGAAGTGCTGCAGTGGCCCAAAGTCCAGACCTAGACCTGACTGGAACACTGTGGTGGGACCTAAAGAGTGCTGAGAAGACATCAGGGAAGAGTTGGCCCAAGTTCCTCCACAGCACTTGAAGTTATCACTGCTAAAGGAGTTCCTACAACCTGCTGAGTAGAGAGTTTTTCTACATACAACTCTTGGATTTGGGCTTTGTTATTGTTTGACATTGTGGAATCTGTGTTTTTGTACACTTAAGGTTAGATTTCAATAATTTAGAAGTAAAAAAAAATAATAATCAGAATTTTTTTTTATTGTCCTGTCCTGTCTCATCAGTAAATCCCTCAAATTGAATGCAGAACTTTGTTTTCCTTTGAGTATATTCTCCTCTACACGTTCAAAACACCATTTAACACTCCAACACACCATAGGAACATCAACAAACGGCACAGATTCATTCCCATTTTTTATGGCATACTGTACATTAAAAAAAATCTGTTCTTAACCAATTATTTTTCATACATCTGTGCAAAGATCCCCAATTCCCTCAAATGCGACCACCGACAAAGTGCATCACTGGAAGAACATTGAACGCAACACATCATCAACACTCACAGACCGCAGGTCACTAAAGCACAGGACAGTAAGGAGGAGGTCATTATACATCAACATCCAATGGAATTAGCAGAATACGTTACACCAACATCAGAACACAATGAATCTGAAAACAGAGCAATCGTGAAATGTACATCTCCCGACGAACAACAGGCATGCAAAATATGCATTTACAATATATCATCATAGTAGCATACAATACAAAGGTAATCTAAACGACATATGACCATATTAATATATTCACAATCAATATATTACATTTCTGTTTTAGATAAAAGAAAACATACCTGTGAGACTGTAGGAGGCAGATTGTTGCAGGCAGACTTGTTTTGTTGCAAAAAAACAAAAGTTTGTGTGAAGCATGACTCACCTGCTTTAATCCACAGTAACAATATTTTAATAAAGCCATCTTTGATCACTCAAAATGTACGGTAGGGTTTAGAATGTGGTCATCAATAGTGTAAACTATGTTTCATATGGATTTACTGAGCTGACTACTGAGAAACCACCAATATTTTACTAACAGGACGACAGCATCACCTGCCTAATGAATGGAAGTGACACAGGAACACGTGTCAAATTAAAAGTCCAGAATAAAGTTCACGTCCTCTAACCAAGGCCTTGGTCCTGGCTCTCTGTATGTCTGCGGCTTGTGCGCTTCCTCTGCTGCTGTTTGGGGTTGACTTGGTCCCAGTAGGACTGGCAGTACTGGTTAATAAGTCTGATCTCAGGAGGGAAGGGGGTGGAAGTGAAGGGCGACTGCGGGAAAGGCTCCGTTTGGCGACTTTTTGGCTCCTCCTCCTCGTCTCGAGAGGTGAGGGCTAAAACGATGTCTCGATCGAGGATGCGCAGTGCCACGCGGGCCACCGTGTGTTTGAAGTTGTTCTCGGTGGCGAGGCAGTGGTAGAGCCCGGCGTCTGACTGGTTGAGAGACTTCAAAAGGACACCGTGGTTGGTCTTCAGGACTCCTCCGGCACGATTTAGCTGCAGGTAAAAAGAAGTCACATCATCGGAGAGAACAGCCGCTTTATTTAGTTTTCGTTTGTGTCAAGAATAGTATCAGTTTGCTACTTCTGTAAATGTGCTCAGCTGCTTCAGTCAAAATATGACCTACTAGATGCAACAACAGTTCTGCTAAAAGAAGCGAGTTTCACAATTAATTAAAACATGGTAAACTATAATTGACAGTCAGGGCTCTGGGGTTTTTCTGCAGTGCAAATGGTAAATGGACTGTACTTATATAGCATCTTTCTATCTTATTTCAAGATACTCAGAGAGCTTTACACTACAATTTGTGCCCTCGTTTTACCCATTCATACACTCTGTGCACAGTGTGCAGCTTCTGACTGTAAAACCAACATTCAACAACTTTCTTCTATAAAATCCAACAATAAACTGGGACTTTCTGTCATAGTTTGTCCTGTTTGACTGTTGTCTTTGTGCTTATCTTGTCTTTATTTCCTTTTCTGTCTAAATAAAGGTTGATTGATTTTCTGATCCTTGTGTTTGACTCTGTTCCTAGTGTGTCTCCCTCCTGTGGTCTGTCTCTGCTATTGCATCCTCATGTAATTAGCTTTTGCCACCACCTATTGTCTCTCCCAGCTGTTTGTCATTTGTCTGTCATTAGTGTGTGTGTGTGTGCGTGTGTGTGTGTGTGTGTGTGTGCGCGCGTGTGTGTGTGTGCGTGTGTGTGTGTGTGTGTGTGTGTGTGTGTGTGTGTGTGTGTGTGTG